TTGCCCAGCTTAACTATTTTAACTCTTCGTTTGGGAGTTGAACCCTTAATCTGCTCAATAATGAAGTATTATTTAGCTTTGTATTTTCTCACTTTCTGCTACGTGAATCTGTCTTGATTAAAGATCACACAGAGATTTCAGGTCGTGGCGCGTGATCTTAAAAAAATTTATTTCTGTTTGAATCATACATCTTTATACAATTTTTTTTTAAAAAAACTACATATTCCCTAGAATGTTTTAAATTGACATATAATATTTTCACCATAACTTACATAGTTGCCAGTAATAAAATTTTAGGACTATGATAAACATTGTCACTTAAATAAAATAGAAACCTCACATGTTTCTAATGGAATCTAATTACCATCTTTATTTGATAGTAATAGCTACTAGGAAAAAAAACAACAACCCGTTTTTTTTCTTTTCCTAATCTTCTTCTGCCTCCCCACTTTCTTTCCCTTCATTGCCTGAACGATTCCAAACAAATGAAATGGTGAGGGGGTTCATTTGGGACCTCTGCAAAGTGGGTGTCAAGACAAGAGTAGATAATGAAGAGTTTATTGGGGAGATGCCTATGAGGGAACAACAGGAAATGAGGGGATAAGGAGAGCCCAGGAGAACCCTCAGACCACAACGCAGGGTTGACTCCAGTGAAGGAGGAGGGAAGGATGGAGGGTTGTGGAGGAAGAGTCTCAGAACACAGTACAATACTAAGAAAGGGTCAGCCAGGCTGAAAGACAGTGCTTGGATTAAAGTCACCGCTCAGAGGAGCCCGAGCCCCTCAGCTGGTTCAGAGAGGGAGCAATTCCTGGTGACCTTGGGGGTGAGCTCTTCTTTTTCTTTCTTTTTTTTAATTTATTTTTTATTTTTATTTTTTTTATCCTCACCCAAGGACATTTTTCCATTTTTTTGTTCAGGTAGAGTGGGAGAGAGAGAGAGAGGAACAGAGAGAGAGAGAGAGAAACATCGATGTGAAAGGAACACATCGAGTGGCTGCCACCCGCACAACCGACCAGGGCCGGGGACAAACTGCAACCGAGGTACGCGCCCCCAGCGGGAACCGAACCCGGGTCTCTCCGGACCGCAGGCCGACGCTCTAACCGCTGAGCCAAACCGGCCGGGGCGAGCTCTTCTTTTTCTACGGCCAGAGCTCAATCAAGGTCTTGCACTGGGCATTCCAGGAAGGAGAACCCTGGCAAATAGGGACCAAAGTATTTAAAGAGGCTTCATCTGGGAGTGTGCCTGGGCCACCTGAAATTATCCTTTGACAGGACAGCTCTGTCTCCCACCCTCATTCTAGCCACGTTATACTTTGGTTCACTCTCATTTTTGACATTTTCTTTGTTTTTATTCTTCATCTCATTCCCTGTCTGTGTCTATCTGGCTTTCTTTTTTCTTTCTTTAAATTGATTTTTTACAGAAAGAAGAATGAAGAGAGACAGAAAGAGAGAAACAGAGAGAGAAGAATCCTGTCCTCAGAATAATGCATAGCCCTGGCCGGTTTGGCTCAGCGGTTGGAGCGTCGGCCTGCGGTCCGGAGAGACCCGGGTTTGGTTCCCGCTAAGGGCATGTACTTCGGTTGCAGTTTGTCCCCGGCCTGGTTGGTTGTGCGGGTGGCAGCCACTTGACGTGTCTCTTTCACGTCTATGTTTCTCTCTCTCTCTCTCTTCCTCTCTCTCCCTCCCGCTCTGTCTGAATAAAAAATGGAAAAATGTCCTTGGGTGAGGATTAAAAAAAGAAGAAGAAGAATGCATAGTGACTTACCTGGGTGATTGTACATCATCATGTGAGGTAAGTGAAATAATAGAAATAATAGGCTTTCTTTTTAAATATTTTATTTTATTTTATCAAAGTTATACATATAGATAGCCCAGCTGGTGTGGCTCAGTGGATTGAGAACCGTCCCATGGACTGAGAAGTCGGGGTTTGATTCCCAGTCAAGGCACATGCCTGGGGTTGTGGGCTTCATCCCCAGCAGGGGGCGTGCATGAGGCAAATGACTGATGTATCTCTCTCACATGTTTCTCTCTCTCTCCCTTCCTCTAAAAATTCAATAAAAACATTTTCTTAAAAGTCATACATACAGATAGACTAAAGAGTCACATAGTTTTACAGAAGTTGTTATAAAAAACAACAGTTGCTTACCAGCCCCCACACACGACCCCTCCGCCAAGAAGAAACCATTCAGCTGATCATAGTGGCAGTTACCGCCCTGTCCCTAAGTAGTCATGTAATGTCACATCTTGACTTTTCAGTTTTAGATATAAACTATTGACTTCCCATGATTTAAAATGTTTTTATGCCCAACCAGTGTGGCTTAGTAATTGGGCATCGACCAATGCACCAACAGGTCACCATTTTGATTCCTGGTCAGGGCACATGACCAGGTTGTGGGCCAGATTCTCAGTGGGGAGCATGCAGGAGGCGGCCAATCGATGTTCTCTCTCATCAATGTTTCTATCTCTCTCCCCCTCTCCCTCTCCCTTCTATTCTCTCTAAAAGTCAATAAAGAAAAAAAAAATTTTTAATATATGTTTTAATTGATTTTTAGATAGAGAGGAAGGGAGAGAGACAGACAGAAACATTGATGAGAGACATCAATTGGCTGCCTCCTGCACACCCTCTACTGGGGATCAAGCCTGAAATCTGGGTATGTGCCCTGACTGGAATCAAACTAGGACCTCTCAGTTCATGGGATGATGCTCAATCCACTGAACCACACTGGCCGGGCCACTTCCCATGATTTAAAATGAGGTTTTTGTCCACCTCTTTCCTCCCTACACCTCTAGCATATAGGTTCACTCTTCCATCCCCTCCCTCCCATTAAAGTTATGTGATAAACAGGACATACATATGGCCAAGAGACATGAAAAAATGCTCAACATCTCTAATCATCAGAGAGATTCAAATGAAAATGATTATGAGATATCACTTCACACCTGCCCGAATGGCAGCCAAAAACAAATCCTCAAACAACAAGTGCTGGTGAGGGTGTGGAGAAAAGGGGACTCTAGTTCACTGCTGGTGGGAATGCAGACTGGTGCAGCCACCATGGAAAACAGTATGGAGTTTCTTAAAAAAATTAAAGTTGGAATTGTCATTTGACCCAGTGATTTCACTTCTAGGAATATATACTAAGAAGCCTGAAACATCAATCAGAAAGAATATAGGCACCCTTATGTTCATAGCAGCACTATTTACAAGAGCTAAGATCTGGAAACAGCCCAAGAGCCCATTAGTAGATGAGTGGACAAAAAAGCTGTGGTACATATACACAATGGAATACTGTGCAGCTGTAAGAAAGAGAGATCTCTTATCCTTTGAGACTACATGGAGAGAACTGGAGAGTATTATGCTAAGTAAAATAAGCCAATCAGAGAAAGACAAATATCACATGATCTCACTTATTTGTGGAACATCATAAACAAAATAAGCTGTCGACCAAAATAAATCCAGTATCATGGAAGTAGGGAACAGACTGACAAACCTCAGAGAGATGGGGGATGGGAGGGGTGGGAAGAGATAAACCAAAGAACTTATATGCATATATGCGCAACCAATGGACACAGACATTAGGTTGGAGAAAGAAGGAACAGGGTGGGAGAGGGGAGGAGGGGATCAATGAGGAAAAAAAGGGAGCATCTGTAACGTTTTCAACAATTACAAATAAATAAAAATAAATAAACAAAAGGGGGAAATTAAGTTATGTGATCATTTCGATTAGCTCTGCACCATGACTACGTACACACTATGGCAGCCAACTGTGTAATAAGCTATACTACTTGTCCTCTTGACACAACTTGTTTATTTTCTCTGAAATGAAATGCTTGGTTTTATATATCCCACCACTGCTGCAACACAAGCTCTTCACCAGTGACCCAAATCTGCTCTCCATGTAGCCATATGCATCCAGCGTTCTACTAATTCTAGATGGATTTCCTAGAGCCCCCCGACCTGCTCCAGTCTGGGCTGGTGGCCCTGCAATTCCTGTCCTCACCTGTCACTCTGGGATCTTCTGTCGCCAGCCTCAAGGGGGTCGGGGGGTCCCTCTTTTCTCCCCTACATTATATCTTCTGAATCCGATGCATTTTTCTTTTATTTCGTCTTAATAGTCTTTCCCTTGCTATTTAGAATCGTTTCATCTGAACTTCTCGCGCTCAGTGAATCTCAGCGAAAGAGAACCTATTGCAACCCTGGGAGAGCAGTGGGACTACTTCGGGGCGTGGGAGACTCCCCGGCGTGTTCACGGCTCGCCCTTCCCACGCCTTCCCCACCCGGCTGTTCGGCTGCTCGCCTGTCAGTTCATCTCAGGGAAAATGGCTCACATGTGATTTGCTTCACCTCCGCTTAGGAGGGCGTGTACTCTGTCCGTGTTCTCACACCCTCATTACTCAAATCCCTCTGCGTGACCTGGTCGGGTACTGACATCCCCACTCCATCTGCCGTGTAATGAGGATTCTTTAAGAAACCTCCTCGTGACTGCAGAGTCCCTGCAACTGCAGGTATCACATTGAAACGAGTCAGGAGAGAATGAGGACAAACGTGTCACCGGAAGTTTAAGGAAGGGAGTGGCCCTGGGTAATCCCCAAGAGTCCTGGAGTGTGAGGTGGTCTGGGAACACTGAGATGTCACTGCTGCGCCTTGGTGACTGTTTCAGGTTTCTAAGACATCCTTTGTAACTTCCTTCTGTTCTGCCCTTCCTCTCCTCCTTTCCCTCCCCCACCCACTCCAAAGCATCCCCTAACGTGGTCCAGAGTGGCTTCCTGGCCAGCCCCGTGACACCTCCCGCTCCAAGTTCTTCATTTCCCTCCCTGGGCCTCAGGCTTTTGCCTGGGTTCGAGAAGAGCCACCGCCCTCTGGTCAGCGAGGTCACTATCTTTGCCTAATTTCCCTGCTTACGAAACAGCAGCGGGAGGGCCAGGGCGAGTCTGGTGGGTTCACACCCACTGCGAGAGGTATAAGAGAGGCAGCTGACACTGACCATCACAGCCTCACCTGCCCCCACCATGAAGTTGAACAGCCTCATGGCCTTCGTGGTGCTCCTGGCCCTCGGCATCCTGGCGTCCTCGGCTGTGGAAGGTGCTAGCAAAGGTGAGTTGGAGTCTCTCAGGCTATCCAGGTGTAGGTTAGTGGTGGCTCCTTTCAGCCCAGGCTGACCTGGAAGTCATCTTTCCCAGGATCCGGCCCACGGCCCCAAATGCCAAGCTTCTTTCTCTCCTGTTGGCTTTTTCCTCTGTTGCACCATCTAGATCCCCTTTGGCTCACCTTTCCAAATTTTTCTCTCATAGCTTTTTCGACGGTCACTTTCACTTTTTCTATCTCTCTATTGTCCACTATCTTTTCTTCAATCTCTGATGAGTTGTCCCTCTTGATAACTGCCCCTCTGGGCTTCCCTCCCAGCCAGGGCGTATCTCTCCCTCGCCCTGGGCCAGGAATACCTAATGAGCTCTCTGCAGCCCTGTCCTGGAGCTGGCTTATCCTGGTTTGCAATGGCCAACTGGTAAATTTTCAAGCCTTTTACAAGCTAGTTGACATCACATTATTAGCTTGAAATCAATCACGGTGGGAGTATTTACACCAGGGAAATTGGCAAATGCTACAGAGGTTACCTCTTACAACATTTATCAGCACACCACAATCTGTATCTTCTTTTCCGGGCCATTGACGCCCTCTTGGCTGAGTACTTGGCTGAGGTTGGCACTGCCTCACACCTGAAACTGAAATCCTAACTGCTCTCTCCCTTCTTTGGGGATCAGCCACCAGGGTTAGGTTTTCTCTCCTCTCCTGGGAAGCTGATTCCTCATCCAGGAATGTGGTCATGACTCAGATTCAGCTCCTTCTCCCTTCTTTGTTGTTACTCTTCAGAAAAAGCTAGACATGGAGCCTGCCCCTCTGTATGCCCAGGAAAGTGCCAACTGGGGTGGGGGCAGACCTGATTTCCACACATGGGATAGAGATGGGGATGGCAGCTTGGGTGGAAGCTCTGAATTATGGCTTTTTCCTCACCAGTTAAGGTCAATCCTGGGAAGTGTCCCGTGGTCACTGGCCAATGTATGATGCTCAACCCCCCAAACAAGTGCCTGAATGACAGCCACTGCCTGAACGGCCTCAAGTGCTGCAAGGGAATGTGTGGGAACGTATGCGTCAAGCCAGTGTGAGGTAAGAGGATCTGGAAAGATCCACATCTCCCCACATCGTAATGCAGCCTCAGCCTCCTGGTGCCCTTCCATGCAAAGGAGGGTGCTTGGCATCTCCCCATACCTCCCACCACCAAGCAGATCTTCTGCCTGTCAACACCGTTTACCCCCAGTTCTTGAAACAGGAAGTCCCCAGGGTCACCTGTGATTGGGAGTGCTGGGTCTTGGGAGGGAAGGATTCTTGGAATGAGCCAGGGGGAGGGAGCCATGAAAAGGGGACAGAGTTCTGTCTTGTAATATCATCTCTGCCTCTGACTGATTGGGTGACTGTGAACGACTGATTGTATCTTTCGTAGCCTCAGTTTCCCCATCTGTGAAATGGATGCAATTGTATCCACTGAAATACTAAATGTAAAAGTGCTTTTTAAGACTGGGGGTGCTCTGAACCCAGTACAAAATAATATTGAAAGTAAACTGTAATTGAAAACATTTTAAATGATTAAGATGGCAAATTTTATGTTATGTGCGCCTTACCACAATTTAAAAAAAAAAAACCTAATTAGTAGGTTGTCCAGCTCTGTGGTTTATGGCAAGTGCTTGGCGGTCAGACAAACCTGACCCTTTCACGTACCGGCTATAAAAGCTGGGCAAGAGACTTAACCTCCCTGAGCCTCAGTTTCCTTGTCTGCAAAATGAGGCTGATGATTTTATAATAACTTATAAAAGCTTGGCAAAGATTAAGTGAGATAGTACTATGAATAAAATTCTGAGTACGATATCTGACACATAAATTGTAAATAATAATGACTCAGTAAAGCTAGGTCTTATGCTAAAAAATAAAAACCAAAGAAGACTGGAGCTGCTGCGTGCACTGAGGCCGTACGCTGTGGCTGTGGCCTCAATGGCTGGGTCACCTGGAACCACAGGAGACCCTAGCTCGGTGCACAAACACAGAGGCCTTGGCAGGGTCCTCTGGCCCGGTGTCCTAATCTTACCAGAGGGAAGACTGAAGCCAAGAGTCAGCGAAGAGCCTGGATTTGTCCGTGATTCCTAGACCTCAGACCAGCACCATGCGCTCTCTCTACTTAACCCAAGAGACGTAGGGCCCGGCGGCAGGAGGCCCATCCCGGTGGGAAGGATGTAAGGGTCACTCGGATTGTTCCTGTGCTGAGGCTCTGTTTTATTTTCTTTTTGCAGATTTATTCTTGTCAGGTCACTAAGGCTAGGACTTCCTGGTATGTGTGGTCTGGGGATTCCTTATCCCCCACGCCCGGAGAAAATGAGAGTACCGTGATGAAGACGTGTCTGTGTGACCGATACCTCCTTGAGGGTAAAGGTGTGACCTGTTTTATCTACATACCCTCCGCATCCAACGTGAAGCTTGGCACAAAGGAAATGTTTGTTGATGAGTGAATAAATAAACGTACAAAGTTTTCTCTGTTTCCATCTTCTTTGACTCATTGAGTATGATGGGTGGAGACGGAGAACGAAATGTCTGCATGTATGGAGTTCCTCCCACACCTGTGAAGTAGAAAGAAGAAGTTTGGAGTCCAGCTCAATAAATGCTAGACTTATCTCAGGATAAAAAGGTTTCCTTAAGCAAGGCACAAAGAAGGAAGAAAATAATAGGTACATTTGACTGTATCAACATAAAGTATAAACACAAAAGAGGTTAAAAATAAATGATAGCTTTGAAGTGAATATTTGGGGTAATGATAACTGATATAAAAATAGAGTGAAAAATATGTGAAGAATTTTTACAAATCAGTAAGAAAGCCCTGGCCGGTTTGGCTCAGCGGTTAGAGTGTCGGCCTGCGGTCCAGAGAGACCCGGGTTTGGTTCCCGCTAAGGGCATGTACCTCGGTTGCAGTTTGTCCCCGGCCCTGGTTGGTCGTGTGGGTGGCAGCCACTCGATGTGTTCCTTTCCTATCGATGTTTCTCTCTCTCTCTCTGTTCCTCTCTCTCCCTCCCACTCTACCTGAACCAAAAATAGAAAAATGTCCTCAGGTGAGGATAAAAAAAAAAAAAAAATCAGTAAGAAAAATAGCCAAGCTCTTACAGAAAAAGACCGTGACCAGAGGAGCAGTCAGCGGAGAGGTTTCATTGTAACTGGGGGCCGACGGGAACAGAGAACTCCAACTCGCTAGTTACGAGGAACAAGCCAATTAAAACAACCAGAGACGCTCTTTTCCATCCATCAGAATGACAAGAATGAAAAGTCTACCATAGAAACTCTCAGAGACTCAGGTGGTTCGCTGATAGAAATGTACATGGTCCAGGCACTTAGAAGAACGGTGGGTGACACCTAATAAAACAAAAACACACATGAATCTTTTAGCAATTTTCCTTCCAGACATACAGGCAAGACAAAACATTGCCCAGTGCGAACATATATGCGTAGTAGGATGCTTATTATAACATTGTTCCAAAGAATCCAAAATGGAAACCAACCTACAGGGTCTTCATGGGTGAAATGGTTACATTTTCATACCTTGGCATGCTATAGAAAAATTAAAATAAATTTGTATGAATCAACAAGGAGACATATTACCATAAAAAAAAAACTGCTGGGAAAATCAGATTGCTGATATAAATATGTAGTATGAAATATTCATATATTTTATTTATTTTTTTTTATTTTTTATTTTTTGAGGTACGTGCCCCTAGCGGGAACCAAACCTGGGACTCTCTGGTCCGCAGGTCAACGCTCAACCGCTGAGCCAAACTGGCCAGGGCTTCATATGTATTTTAAAATCACATGAAACAGCCCTGGCCAGTTTGGCTCAGCAGTTAGAGCGTCGGCCTGCGGTCCGGAGAGACCCGGGTTCGGTTCCCGCTAAGGGCACGTACTTCGGTTGCAGTTTGTCCCCGGCCCTGGTTGGTCGTGCGGGTGGCAGCCACTCGATGTGTCCCTTTCACGTCGATGTTTCTCTCTCTCTCTATCTCTTCCTCTCTCTCCCTCCCACTCTATCTGTACAAAAAATGGAAAAATATCCTCGGGTGAGGATAAAAAAATAAATAAATAAATAAAAATAAACAAAAAATAAAATCACATGAAACAGCCCGCTGTTGTGGGGACGCACCAGAGGACACGCACCAAATGCAGGCTGACGGGTCCCTCTGAAGGGGAATTGAAAGAAGCTGGCAGTGCTGGCCAAGGAGACTGCTGCTTTAGCTTCAGGATGTATCACGTGAAAACAAGAGAAAGATGTAACACCCTCGCTAGGGGCTCCTAGTATCAAATGCCAGGGTAAAACAAATCTTTCTGATCTTTTCTTCTTCTAAAAGCCGCACGTGGAGGGCAAGAGACAGAAACTCAAAACCCATCCTGCTGACACGAGGAATCCTCAGTACCCACTGGCTACGGTACAGAACTGGACATCGAGTTTTCAGATTGGAGAAATGTTCGAGCGAATGGTTTGCAGTGGGAGCTCTTTATGCTAGAAGACCCCTGGGGGCCAGGAGCACGGCTAACAGCACGAATCTGGCCGGTAGGGACAGAGAATGACGTGGCTCTGAAGCAGAGTGGAGAGACCTACAGACAACTAACCTTAGCGTCCCCCCGCATCCACGGTCCCCGCTCTTTCCTGGGCACACAGCTAGACTGAATTTAAGTGTAGCTACATGACTGGGCTTTGGTCCATGAGTGGGAGTGATGTGTCCAAATTCTGGCCCTGGCCCATCAAACTTCTCTTCCATGCCGGTGCATGGAAGGGACTAGAGGAACGTGGATGGAAGCAGCCAGGGATCCTGCATTTCTGTGTGGATCCCAGCTTCTCCTCCCCACTTGCTTGGGACTATGCCATGAGCAAGAAATAAATTCTTCTTGTGTTAAGCCACTGAGAGCTGGAATTTGTTTGCTACATGAATAATGCAGTCCTGACCCCCGTTTGGAATCCACTCTGTGGTCTGGCTGTATTTCCTGCCCTTGAGCTCTACGTGATGCTTCATTTCATCACGGGTCCCACATGGAAGTGTTTGTCTCTGGTCCATCTTTGGGTGGAGTTCGGGGTGGGAAGTGAAAGCAGAGGAATCGGAAACCTCACTCCAGGAATACCACGTATAAATAAGTATAAATAAGCGGTCGTCACTCTCCAGGTCCACTGACGATCAAGCACGGTTCTCTTACATATGCCTCTGGCGTTGGGTGGAGGATGAGCGCAGCTTCCAGCGGCATTGGTTCTGTGTGCTGGAGCGGTGGGGTCCAGAAGAGGAGAGAGAAAGTCATCTTTTTGGTGGAGCAAGAGGAAAAGGGTCACCGTCTCCCACTCCGGCTCCAGCTTACTCTCAAGTAGCTTATTGAAAGTCAAATATTTGAACCTCAAGATTACTTTTCCCTGAAAGCCTCCAACGTCTATATGAAGGAGTCTGATCTTATCGCATGGGTCCCTTAATTCTAACCTTACTGTGCTAGGACAGCACCGGCCCTTCCAACACTCCGGCTACATTTGAAAGCCGTCCCAAGCTGACCGCAGAGTTCTGTGCGCAAATCTCTTTCTGGTCCCTTGGTCTCTCCTTTTTAAAGAAGAGGGTGAGGGAAATTTTCTTTCGTCCTGACTCTTTTCAAATAGGTCTCCTATCATGGAAGTGAGCTTGAGGGGACACCTCTTTGTCCCAACCAAAACAAACCTTGATTCAGTCTCTCAAGGCACAGGCAACATGGGAGCATTGAGAAATCGCTGGCCAGGTTTCAAGAACTGAGAGGTTGATTTCTCAGTCTGCTGCTGACTCGGTCTGTGACCACGGGCACGTTCCTTGACTCCTCATTTACATGATGAAAGGATGATTCAGGTCCCACTTTGTTCTGCTCTTTCACAAGTTGATGATTCATAGAAACACCTTGAGGGACAGTCCCAGTAGAATGGTCACCCATCTAGTCCTATGAACTCCCTGTGACTAGAGCTTCCCTTTCAGCCCCGCCTCAGCCCCATTGTCTCTAGTCGCTGAGGTCAGCTTCCAGGGCATCTGCTTACTTGGTGATTATGACTTATGGGCATCCCAATTAGGGTACAGATGAGGAAACTGAGGCCCAAAGAGACGTACCCAAGGTCACACAGTAAGTCAGTGGTGGAGTTGAATATCCTTTATCTCCAAGCCCCACAATCTTTTCCTTTATTTCCAAGCTCATTTGGTTTTTTGCAGAGTATAGAGTGATGCTGTCCGGATCCCCCGTTAGGGCCGAGGCACTCAGGGCCAGTCGCTGGGCGCGCTGGTGGCTGACACTCACAACGCAGTCCCTCCCTGGGAGTTTCCAGGGCCAAAGTTACACCCCATTCCCAGGGCAACCTGTACCCACAGCCTGGTTGATGTTCAAGTTCAAAGGCCTAGCTCCCTTGTTTGATTAGGGACACCTCGGAAAGGCCCCCGAGCTCCAGGGCTCCCCATGAAAGTGGCGGAGGCTTCGTTGCAGCTGCATCACATCCACCTTCCTCTCCAGCTCGGCTTCTCTCACCTCTCCCAGGTGCTGCTCCTCAGGATGCGCCCCAGGGGGCCTCCTGCTCGGAAAGCTCGGCCTCTGAGACTGTTTCCCAGGGAAACTGACCTAAAGACGATGATACAAAGTGATCATGCCCTGGCCAGTGTGCTTGGTGGTTAGAGCATCGGCCTGTGCACTGAAGGGTCTTGGGTTTGATTCCTGGTTGAGGACATGTACCTGGGTTGCAGGTTAGATCCTCAGCCCTGATCGGGGCCATGTGGGAGGCAATCGATTGATGTGTCTCTCTCACATTGATGTTTCTCTCTCCTCCTCCCTTCCTCCCTTCCACTCTTTCTAAAAATCAAGGGAAAAATATTCTCGGGTGAGCCCGGCCGGTGTAGCTCAGTGGTTGAGCATTGACCCATGCACCAAGAGGTTGTCAGTTCGATTCCCGGTCAGGGCACATGCCCAGGTTGTGGGCCAAATCCCCAGTGGGAGGCATGCGAGAGGCAGCCAATCAGTGTTGTCTCTCATCCATGTTTCTATCGCTCTCTCTCCCTCTTCCTTCCTCTCTCTCTAAAGTCAATAAAGGAAAAATATATATATATCCTCGGGCGAAGATTAAAGAAAAAAAGTAAGCCCAGCAGTGTGGTTCAGTGGATTGAGTGAGCACTGTCTCATGAACTGAGAGGTCCTAGTTGGATCCCTGGTCAAGGCACATCCCCGGGTTTCGGGCTCAATCCCCAGTAGGGGGCGTGCCGGAGGCAGCCCATCAATGTATCTCTCTCACATCCATGTTTCTATCTCTCTCTCCCTTCCTCTCTCTTTAAAAAAATCAATAAAAACATTTAAAATTTTTTTCTTTATTGATTTTAGAGAGAGATGAAGGGAGAGGGAGAGAGAGATAGAAACATTGATGAGAGAGAACATCAACTGGGCACCTCCTGCATGCCCCCCACCGGGGATAGGGCCCACAACCTGGGCATGTGTCCTGACTGGGA